CCCAGCTATTTTTTTTTTTTTTTGTAGTTGTCATTGTTGTTTAGCTGGCCCAGGTGGGGTTCAAACTTGCCAGCCCAGTGTATGTGGCTATTGCCCTAACCACTGAGCTACGGGTGCTGAGCCTCTAACAAGTCTTATGATATCCAAAGTGATACTATCAACAACTCACACTTGTCTACAATTAGTATTACACATACGTTGGCTAAGAGCCTTGGGTTTGGAAACTATGAAACTCATCCAGCTCTGAACAACAACGGATTCCACAGCCACAAAATCTAACTCTGACATGAGCCTTATCACGGGTACCAAAAATGGAAAGGCAAATCCTTCACAACTCCTGGAAACTCAAAGGTGGGTCAAGAGAGCTCTATCAATCAAAGGACAGTGTTATAATAAAGGTTCCGTGTGTGCATGTGTGAGTGTGCACATAGTGGTAGCTCAAAAACTTAATTTATTCCAAAACTAGCATCTTAAAGTCATGACTGCATGTTGAAAGGAATCTGATTCCAAAGTTCCACAGTAAAGATTTGGTTTGGGGAGGGCTGAATTATAATAAAGGAAATTTAACAAAAACATTTTAACATTCCAAAAAGGATGCCAAGACTCCTCATCTTAGCTGGACATAGTGGTGCACACCCACAGTCCCAGCTACTCAGGAGGCTGAGGCAGAAGGATTGCTTGAGCCTAGGAGTTCAAGGCTGCCATGAGCTGTGACTGTGCCACCGCACTGCAGCCTGGGCAACAGAGTGAGAGCCCATCTCAAAAAAAAAAAGACTCCTAACCTTTAATATCATCAACTCTCCAGTGCAGGGCTTGGTTTAACACTCCCTGGTTTTCCACAGAGCAGGAAACACATAGCTAAGTTAGAAATACAAAAATGTTTGAGGACTTTAAAGAAGAAAAATTAAATTTACTACTAATACTCACCTGCAATAATTTCCCGTAGTTTGGGGTCTAGGTTTACGGTGCATGGCAAGAAGATTTTAACATCTCGGGCCACAAGAACTGGGGTTCTTGAAGATAAAAATACCTCAAAATTTCTTATATCTCCATCAATTTCAAGCAGTGGCTCAACATCTTTAGTTGTTGGAATATTCTTTGATATTCTTCAAACAAGAAATAAATGAAAAAGGTTATTAATGTCACTATCAGAAAGGCAAATTCTACATGCAACTAAAATTTGTTACTTAGTCAACGACACATGATACATCTGACTCTCATCTAAAAACAATTTTTTTTTTAAAAAAAAAGAACACACCATACCCCAAAGTGGCATAGTTACAAAAAAAGGTAACAATGAGTGGGGCAGAATCATCCACCTCCAGCCAAGGCCTGATACATGCTGGGAAAACAGAGAGGAAGCAGTGTCTGTGCCAGATGTGACACATGTCATGTGCCGTGACTGCCCATCTGAGAGGGCTCCACAAGTTACCCCTTTACACGTGAGGACAGTGAGTCCATCAAATAGCCTGCTCAAAGGATACAGCCAGGAGAGAGAATCTGACTGGCTCTGAAACACAGGTTTTGGGCATTTTCACAGAATACCATGGTTCTTCACTTTGCAAATTAAAAAAAATAAATTACACAAACTAGCCAAAGGTTGACACTGGTTTGTCCTTTGTTAAAAAGAAAGTGTATCTAATACATACATGCACATACATATATGCACTTATATATATGTAAGCACATTATATAAGACAGAAATACAGGAAAACAGCTGGAACAAATACATGCTTTTACCAATCAGACACAGTCACTGCTAATGTGTACAGTGTGTCACTAGGCCTTTTACTGTATAGAATTTTTACATAGTTGAGTTTAATTTTGTATCAAGCAGTGATTCTTAAATGTAAAAATAAGTAATACACATTCACTAAAAATATTTATTCAATACTACTATGTTGAGCTATTGTGAAACTGCCATTTTTGTAGGTTAAAAACAGTCACATATTGACAATTCCACTTGCGGCGATGTGTGGATCTGAGGCAGGGACAAAAATGTATCACAGAGATAAAAGGATGAAAATATGAAAAAGAAACAAAAAGACAAGGATATGACTAAGAAAACGAGAATGTCCATGAACAGAGTGATGAGTAAGTGGTGGTCTGTACACACTACGGAATATTAACCAGCAATACAAAGGGGTGAGCTACTGAGCCGCACGGCACGGACCATCTCAGAATCAACCCTGTTGAGGAGAAGAACGCACCAGTAAACAGCACACAGGTGTACGTATTTATTTCAAACTAGAAAATGTAAACCAATCTAAAGTAACAAAGCAGATCAGAGTATCCTGTGAGTCAGAACCGTAGCAAACAAGGGAGATGGAGGGAATTACAACAGGTGAAAATTTTTGAAAGCAACGGAAACTCTGAATTGTGGGGATGATTATGTGCGTATATCCACGTATCACATATACATACTGGGAAATTGTACAATTTAAATATGGCAGTTTACCGCTTATCAATTATACCTCAAAAAGCTGTTTAAGAATCACAGGAGACTCTTCAAAACACTTCCCGATTAATCAAGAATGTTAGCTGTGACACTGTACCGAATGAACACGCTTTCAGAGTAGCAGTTAGATTTTCATGGCCTTCAAAAAGTAAATGGGAATCTGAACTCCAATATTAGGAACAGTTGTTTTATTTCTTTGACACTAGCACTTCACTGTGCAGACCCCATGCTTGGCTAGCAGCCAAATATTAAAAGTCATCCAAGGAAAATCCAGAGAACAAACCAGGTTCTCTCCAGAGCAGGGTGCTGGAGAGAAAATAAAGACAGCAATTTTACCTGAGTGGGTTTCAGAAAGTTCCTTTGATAGATTAATACACACGCACAAAACAAGAAAAATTACTTGGGATTACTTTTCATAAATTAAAATGTTGTCCAAGCTGATAACTGAATATGTTTAAAAAGAAACAGAGAGCCTGGAGGAGAGGGCCACAGAATCCCTTGCAGAAGTAGCTGGAGTATCAGCACTCACACAGTTAAAACAGTAGCTCATCTATTTTAGGAATTTACCACAAAATACTAGGAAGAAAGGCTAGAAAGATTTAGATAAAAACACATAGCTGACAAGTCACATGAAACAAATTAACTGGGTTTTAATGCCAGCCCGGCTGAAGCCTGAATGCGAGCAGTGTTCTCGGCAGGCTGAACAATGCTCTCTTCACAAGCGGGGGCTACTGCTGGCTTCCAGATTGAAGTCTCTATTCTAACCTTCTGAGCTCAATACATTAAACTTCTGCTGAAAGAGATATTTATGTAAATGATAATCTTTTGGCAGTGGGCCATCAAAATCATATGTGCCTTTATTTTCCAGATACTTCTCCAAAGATTAGCATTTAAAGAATTTAAGTAAGTTCACTTTTCAATTAAGAGTGACTTTAAATTTCCAGTATTATGAATCATGTGAATTGAAGTTGCCAGCAGTTAAATGGCCCACAGAAAGGATTATAAAACCTCAGGCACCAGTGAGCTCCTACTAAGCCTAAATGAAATTTCTTTCTATGCTACCAAGCTAGCAGCACTTGGTAATGCCAACGTCAATGTGAGTTAAAAGCATTTTGATTATAAATGACAGTGGTTTATACAAAGTCCACATTAATTCTTCGGCAGAAATTACATCAGCTATTCATATCACTCCCATTCAAAATGAGGCTTTAAGCTATAGAAAAAAGATTCCTATTTTAAATCAAAGTATAAACAGGTTCTTAGTGCATAACTTATAAAGCAGGCATTTGGGGGGCATACTTCTTCTGAAAGTAGTTGCCTAATAATATCATTATTTAGGCTCGGCGCCTATAGCTCAACCGGCTAAGGCGCCAGCCACGTACACCTAAGGTGGCGGGTTCGAATCCCCAGCCCGGACCCGCCAAACAA